CAATCCAAAGTACTGAATATTAACGCTAGGACCACCACTGGGTGTCTATGTTGTTGTTAAGTGCCATCAAGTAGATTCCGACCCATAGAGACCTTGTAGGGTTTCCAAAGAGCAGCTGGTGAGTTTGAACCTTGCAGTTCAAATGACTTTCCAGTCTAACATATTAACCCATAGCACCACACCAGTGTCTATGGACTTAAGGAAAATAAAATAAAAGGTCTGACCCTCTCAGGTTGTGTGTTCCATTCATTCCTGAGATACGGCTAATGTTTGCTTGTAAAATAATAGATATGAATGTGTTTCAAAATTTAGGTTAAAAAAAAAAAAAAATGCCATGATCATAGGTAAAGTTATTCAGCCCTACCCCACTGCCCTTGGAGATCAAGGAACATAAGAAGGAATGACAGTTTGCTAAGAGTTGCTGCTGTTTTTAGTTGCATTGAATTTTGAGCCATGGTGACGCTGCGTGATCAGACTGTTGTGATCCACAGGGTTTCAAACACTAGCACTGAAATTCTAATCTTGGTTCAGAGTACATTCCCTTGTTTGACCTTCAATGGAACCAGACTGGATGCTTATTTTCATTCACTTATTTATATAATGGACTCTCAGTTTTCTTGCATCCATATCTTAGCACCAGACAACCCACAAATAATTTTCACTTGGCAGTGGGTATGTGAGCTATCGTTTCAGAAGTAGACCACCTGCCCTTTCTACCGATTCTGTCTTAGTTTAGTAGCTCTACTGAAGCCTGTTCAGCATCTTAGCAACACTCAGGCCTTCACGGACAGTTGGGTGGTGACTATGCATGACGTACAGAGGCCAGGAACCAAAGCAGAATCTCTAGTGTGAGTCTCCACTGAAGTTGCTGCTATATTCAGTGCTGTTGAGTTGGTTCTGACTCACAGCTACTCTGTACAGGGTTTCTGAGGATCAGCTGGTGGGTTTGAACCGCTGACCTTGTGGTTATCAGTTCAGTGCTTATTCTAGCAGGCCCTCTGAGATTAAAGATGTCGCCCATAGCCTTAGCAATGTCCAGCAGTGGGAACAGGACGTCTATATAGGGAAATAATGTCTAGTTAGGGAGGTATGCTTAGGAAGCGTTTCAAAGAACTTGTTGTTGTTGTGTGCCGTGGAGTTGGTTCTGACTCATAGAGAGAGACCCTGAACAGGGTTTCTGAGGTTATAAATCTTTATGGGAGCAGAAAGCCTCTTCTTTCTCCTGCGGAACAGCTGGTAGTTTCGAACTGCTGACCGTGAGATTAACAGCCTGATTTGTAACCACTACACTACTTAGAACATGCTAAATGGACATGTGAACTGTGTGGTTTCATATGACAGAAATGTGTTTTCTCACAATCTAGAGTCTGAGTCCAAGGTGTCTTCAGGGACATGGTCTCTCCAAAGACTCTAGGGGAAGTCCTTTCTCATCTTGTCCCACTTCTGGTAGTCCCAAGCATTCCTTAGCTTGAGGCAGCATAAGTCATTCTTCCCTCTGTGTCTCTTTTCATCCTCTATTAAGGACACAAGTCATAATAAAATTAGTGCTTACCCTAGGGACCTCATCCTAATATAGCTAAGTATATCTGTGATGAGGGAGTGCTGGTAGCGTAGTGGTTACAAATTGGGCTGCCAACCGCAAAGTCAGCAGTTCGAAACTACCAGCTGTTCCGTGGAAGAAAGATGAGGCTTTCTGCTCCCGTAAAGATTTACAGCCTCGGAAACCCTGTACAGGGTCGCTATGAGTCGGAACCGACTCCACAGCACATAACAACAACAACAATATCTGTGATGACCTTATTTCCAAATAAGGTAAGATTTACAAGTACCAGGGGTTGTGTTGTGATCACATATCCTTTGGGAATTCACAACTGAATCCGGAGCTCCTCTCAGTGTTGAGGATTGTGTGGAGTGGAATGGAACACATCCACAAGGACTAAGAGTGTGTACAAGCCAACCCAGTGTTTTCTAATTCTGTCCTCTCCAGATTGATTTTCCCTTCTGTGGTCGCTTCTTCATCTAAAATGACAATACTGATGCCCACCTTGAAGGACCACTGTGAGAAGTAAACGGAATAGCTAAGCATTTTGCATAATGTTTGGCACCTGTGCTCACTCAAGTACATGAATGGAGAGGAGGTGTAGAAAAGAAACTATTATTAATTTCCAGTTACTGATGATTTTTTGTTACTAAAAAAAGCCATCACTATAGCTTACCAACTTTCAGCTGTGAAAACAATCTACTTCCGAAAATCAATACGAATGTGCATATGAACTGACAGTCTAGGATCGAGTGAATGATACTAAAAAAAGGTGTTGGTCTTGGAGGGATCTTAAAGTTCTTAAAATATCTTAAAATCACATCTTTTAACTCATACATTTTTACAAATACGGAAAATTCACCTTCACAGCAAGCCAGGACTAGAACCCATGCTTTCAGATGAGGCAAGGATAAATACATGAGATTAAAGCATGACTGTCTTGCATACATGGCTGGGTATATAGTAACGTTAACACTTGTCTGTCCACTTGTTAAACTTTGTCAGGTTGTTTGTTGCTGTGATGCTGAAAGCTATAGCATGAATATTTCAAATACCAGCAGGGTCATGGATGGTGGACAAGTGTCAATAGAACTTTCAGACTAAGACAGACTAGGAAGAGAAGTCTGGTGATGTACTTCTGAAAATTAGTCAAGCAAGTTTTATGGATCACAACAGATTACTATCAGATCTAGTGCGAGAAGACAAGCCCCCAGGGTTGGAAGGCATTAGCTACTGGCCATAACAATGCACTCACATGTACCAAAATGATAATGGCAAAGAACCAGGCAGGGTTTCATTCTGGTCTATGTAAGAGCTCCGTGAGCTGGAGCTGACTTTGATAGCAACTTAAAAAATCAGCAACGTACAGTGAGAGCACAGCTGAAGGCTGAGCACAGGGGGACGTCTATCAAGAATGGGAACAATCAAGTTGACTCTAAGCATTCAAGTTTAGGGGCTTGGAAGACTGGGGACTGAAAAGTGGAAGTTGATGAGAGAAATAGTCTTAGTGTGATGAAGAGCATGGCTATGGGGTGGATGTTGTCATCTTCGAGAAATACCCGAGTAGGCTTCACCTACGGGTTGTTTAGAATCTAGGGCTGGACTGCTGGTGTCTAAGCAGTCCTAGGAATGCAGACCTGTAAGAGCACATCATGGAATTAAAAGATCAAACTGAATAAACACACTTGCAAAGTTCAACAATTGGATTATAATGGAAAATACCAAAGGGACAAGATTGTACTGAGAGGCTCAGTTGGCAAGGAAGTGGAGAGAGGAAGTATTGAAGAAGAAGAATATTTGGTTGAAGGATTGGTTTCAAGGTTGGTGTAAATCCAATAGTCTGACATTCAGGAGAGAGTCAGGGAATATGACGTTGGAAAAAGAAATCAAGAGTCCTTTGGATTTGGCCCAAAAGAAGCCATTACCTGGAAAAACAGTTTCAACAATGTGGGTGTGAAACATCCACATCTATTACTGAAGAAATTAGACTGGGGAATGAAGGAAGAAGGCAGTTGATGGTAGTGAGGAAAGATGGCAGAGCAAAGTAATGTCTTATTCATTATTAAGGACTGTATGAATATTTCAGAGTATAAAGGGAGAGATGAAGGAGGAGAGATGAAAGCTTTGGAGAGGTAGAAGATAAACCTGAACGCGAGTCCTCAAGAGGAAAACGGAGCAAGACATCAAGACAAAGTGGAGTCACTAGCATTGAATCCTAAAGACATGCCTCCTTCCTCATACCTTGAACACTTTTGCTCTGAAGTATTTTGGGATTTCTGGAAGTCATCAGATATTTACAAGGACTTGAAGATCTGCATATGTACACTTCTCATTTTATAGAAGAAACAAATGGCACGTGGTGGGTTGAGACCTTTTTCTCAATGCAGTGCCCACTGAACAGCACCAAGTACATGGCTATCATGATGTCCTTATAAGTGTCCGTATTTGCTTAGGGTCATTCTTCCCTGGTGGACCCTTAGCTGCATGTGGGCAGGATCAACGTGCTTTTATAACCTCTGTATCCCAAGCGTTCACACAGTACCAAACACATGGCAGAAATCCAGTAGATATTTGCTAAACAGATGACTAAGTGTAGGAACGAATGAGTGAATGACCTCTTCCAGGGAAAAGAAACTTGAGTTAGGGAGGTAAATCAAACTGTTTATATGTCTCCAGAAATAAACCAAGCAGTTTAGGAAAGGTATATTACCTCTTTAAAGACCATTTGGAATTTTCTTAAAATGAATTTCCAGTATGTTAACACACATACACACAGCCCATACCCAAAGCTATCATCAAAGCCCATAGAAGACTCGTCCCTCAAGTGCAGACTAGGATTTAAATGAACGAGGTGGCATGCAACATACAAGTATTTATACTTTCTGTACTGACTTCATGACAAATTTCTTCTACTTTCTGTCTGTGAGATGGTAATACTAGGAAGAAATATTTTGAGGATAATTAAGATTGTCAGGTTCTAATAGCCAAGCCAGGACCTTTATTGTTCACTGTGAGAATCATCCTATTCTCTACTTTTAAAAAAAGGTTCGATTGATATGTTTCCAACTTTGTAAAATATTTTGGTGATATAACTATGCTACTAATTGGCTTGCATTTTTGTGACTTTTCCACCTAAAAAGTACTCGCCCAAAGCTGATAAGCTCCAGGATCCACGTAGCCCAGTCCATAGGTTGTACCTTATGGATATTTGCTGATTGATTGACTAAATGAAATTGTACGTTCACAGTGACTTCCAGCTATCATATCACCTCTGTATCAACCTTGTGAGATGGATTCTATCCCAATTTTACAGGTGAGCAATCTAAGGCGTAGAAAAGTTGAGCTACTTGCCCATTGTCTACCAGCACCTGGGACTGAAACCCAAGCCTTCTGATGCCCTGACCCTAGTGATTTCTCTGATGCAGGTTGTAGCTCTGATGTCTCTCCATTTTTGCTTCAGGAAATGATGAGCAGACACCGTCGAGAGAATGGCTTCTTATCATACTTCCAGTAGCCATCTTCTTCATCTTGTTGATGATCTCCCTCATCTGCAGAATGTAGGTGTTCTTCACATTTGGGTGCTTCTAGTGGGGTCTGGGCATTGAATTCTTATAGACTTGCCATGTATCACTGTGTTCCTGGGTGACCCAAGAGGTTTATAATTCTAACATAAAGTTTGATGGTTTGAACCCCCTGTCCCCAGCAGTACCATGGAAGGAGAGTGTGGTGACCAGTTTCTAGAAATATTACAGCCAACATCCTACTTTGATGAGTAGCGACTGGGGCCTTCATCACTGCCGAGTGACCATCTAAAGTTTGATTATCAGTCTCTCCCTGTGTGGAGGAACAGTGATGAAAATTGAAAACACTTGGAAATAATGAGTCCAATGGTTTAATAATAAATCACATGAGCATCAGTCTCCATGACTTTGAGACCAGAAGAACTAGATGATGTCTGGTTACCATGAGCAGCAGTTCTGAAAGGGATCACATTAGAAGGTCCCAAATAGAGTAGGAAAAAATGTGGAAGAAAACTCAAAATCATGAAAAAGACCAGGCCTACTAGTCAGAGAGTGACCATGTAGGAACCCAAGATTATGGTCACCCATCAGGTTTGGAACTGAACTCACCATTCGTGGCCCAATTTTCAGGCAAGCAGAAGACAGATATAAATGGAGGACATGCACACCTAGTGTGTATGCACAGCACACAACGGTGTGAGGTATGCACACCACACGACGGTCAATCGTTTGCTATCAAAAGGCAGCATTTCCCTAAGGACAAAACTCAGACATGTGGAGAGAGGAGGAGGCATGGAAACACGAATCCCAGGGAGGAAATAGATGTATGATGTTACACTGAGAGGACCGCAATAATTGAGAATGAAATGAAGCGGATAAACTGATGAATGCTCTGTAAACCTTCAATCAACTCACAATAAAAAGTTACAAAATAAAGGAGGGGGTCTGAATTACAGCTACCCCAAATCCTTCTGGATTCGGTTAACTCTGTAACAGATGGGGCCACCTTAAGCCCAAACCAGTGGGGCAACAATTGATTTGCTTTGGTTTAGACATGGACCACTAACTGCCTGGACTTTTCTGTCTTCCTAGACAGTGAGTATAGGCCAAATCAGAGTCCTGGTGTGGTGCTGTGGGCTAATGCACCAAACTGCAAAGCCGTTTGAAATGCAAGGTCAGTTGTTCAAGTTCACCAGCTGCTCCTTGGAAACCCTATACAAGGTCGCTATGGGTTGGAATCAACTCGATGGCACTTAACAACAACAAATAGGCCAAATCAAAAGTGAGAGAAGCAGGAGTGATTTACAGAAACCGGACAGAGCCCTCAGCCAATTACACACTCCTTCTCCAATGTGTCCATGATCTGTTATTTTCTGTCAAGGTTTTACATTGATGTTCTTTTGATGCTTTAACTGCCTCAGCTCTTGGTTGTCTTGTTAAGTTACCAGCCTTTTATATCTCTGGTAAAGCAAAGAAACTCACTGGCAGCTGGGAACACTACAATGCCTCCCATGCTATTATTCATAATAATCAGAGGGCAGCTCCTACCTTGATTCTCTGGTCATCCTGCCTGAATGGCCAATTGCTTTTTTAAGTCAAACACAGATTTGACAAATGTTTTGTCCATTTGCTGTCCTATCTGCTCGGAGCCTGCTGATGGCTCCACAAACACTCCCCCATCCCTTGTAGCATTCAGGAAGAGACAAATAGGTCGGCCTTATGATGCCTTAGAAAATTATTTAAAATATATATATAATGCTTTTTTTTGTGGGACCATAGAGGACATCGGCTGCTTCACCCAGAAGCTGAACATCTCCTTTCCAGCCACTGGCTGTCAGAAACTTACTGAAGTGGACGATGAACGCAAACTTAGTACCTTGTATAATCAGCGAATGGCCACAGAGGTTGTTGCTGACTTGCTGGGTGACAAGGAAGGGTTAAGTTGTCCGCATCAATGGTGGGAATGGCAAGCAAGGTTTTCCCTGTGAAGCAGGGTGTCTTGACCCATGGCCGCATCCACCTGCTTCTGAGAAGGGGGCATTCCTGTTACAGACCAAAGAGAACTGGAGAAAGAAAGCACAAATCTGTCCGGGGTTGTGTTGTGGATGCCAATCTAAGTGTTCCCAACTTGGTTATTGTTCAAAAAGGAGAGACAAATATCCCCGGACTGACTGATACAACTGTGTGTGCCTCGTTGCCTGGGCCCCAAAAGAGCTCACAGCCAACTTTTCAACTTCTCTAAAGAAATTGATGTCTGCCAGTATGTTGTCAGAATGCCACTGAGCATAGAAGGCAAGAAACCCAGGGCCACAGTGCCCAAGATTTAGCCTCTTATTATTACACATGTCCTGAAATGCAAATGGTGGTGTATTGCTAAGAAGAAACAGCACACTAAGAAAAATATGGAGGAGGCCGCAGAATATGCCAAACTTTTGGTCAAGAAAATGAAAGAGGCCAAAGAAAAATATCAGGAACAAAATGCCAAGAGATGGTGGCTGTCCTCTGAGCTTCTGTCTCTAAGTCTGAGTGAAAAACAGATTCCTCAGAGTGACAAATACTCACATTAAACCTCCATATATATACAAACACACACACACACACACACATCTATCTATCTATAAAAGTATCACTGTTATAAACACTGTATTCAGATAATATCTATGCATAGCAGTTAAAAGGAGAGGAAGAAGAAAGTAAACTCCAGTTGGAAGAGGCTGCTATGAGTCTATAATTGTAGACAGTAGTAAGGTAACTTACATCTGACATATACTGTTTATTTTCAGATATTACCATGTTACCATTCTGTAAAGATTCAGCAGCCATGTCAGAGCCTTACAGTATCCCAGTAATTGCAATATAGATATTTGGAAGTTGGAATTCCTGAGTCATGCATATGCTTAACATACAGGGCTACTAATAGAAAGGTTAGTGGTTCGAGTTCCAGTGCGAGGTGTTATGGACTAAAGGCTTGCCTATTTACTTCTGAAAATTCAGCCACTGAAAACCCTATAGAGGACACATATGGGTCACCAGGAATCAAACTCAATGGCAGCTGGTTATATGGAATTTATGATAAAGATTTTCAAATCACAAACCAGAAGGTCCTAGAATTGGCCAATTTTTCAAACAGATATTTAAAGACAAAAAGGAATGCTTAGGATGGCCTAAACTTTGCCTTTACTCTCCTTTCAGTTGTCACTTATGGGCCAAGTTGTTTCCACCAGTTCCGGCACCTAAAAACAACATTCAAGATCTCTTTGTCAGCACCATGCACGAGGTAATCTTGATACGGTGTACGTTCCCAGAGTTGACTTTCCAGGGAATGGTCATTAGAGAATTGGTTTTGCATATAAGGCAGGGTTTTTATGCAGGAAATCAGGAGTCTTCCATTGTTTCAGAAGTCCACTATTTGTTATGTACGTTCATTATTGTCTCTACATACTGGGAAGGTCAGACTTGAATGTTAATCTCATGTTATCCATCTTTGTACTATGTTATGGAGCTCTGGTGGCACAGAGATTAATTAAATTAATTAAATGCCTAGCTGCTATCGGAAAGGTCAGTGGCTCAAGCCTACTAGCCTCTCTGTGGGAGCAAGATGTGGTCAGTCTGTTTGGGAAAGTTCGGAAACCCTATAGGAAAGTTCTGCTCTCTTCTACATGGTTGCTATGAGTTGGAATTGACACATCAACAGCTTCTGGTTATTTACTGACACTGAGGATTCCTGGTGTGGCGCTGTAGGACCATCAGTAGACTGTGAACCACCATGTGCTCATCAATTCAAACCCATCAGCTGCTCCTGAGAAACCCTATGCAGGGTCACTATGAGTCAGAACCAACTGGTGTGAGGCTATAGGATAAGCACTCAACCACAAGGTCAGCTGAATCACAAGGTCATTGGTTCAAACTCACCAGCCTCTCCTCAGAAACCCTATACTGGATTGCTATGAGCCAGAAATGTCTAGACAGCACTTAACAATACTGACATTGAACATTCCTTCAGCCTTATAAGCTCTGACTTCCTTTTCTGTAGTAGGGGACAAAGATGATCTGGTCCAAGGTCCTGCTGATCTCTCATGTTTCAAGAATTTATGCTATGGGCAATGAAACGATATACAATAGGATGAATGTAAAGCTAATGTTCTCCCATGTAAACTATCACCCAATTCACAATAAATATTCAAAAGAATCCATGCTATTACACATTTATCAAAAAGGAATTTTTAGAGGAAGTTTTGCTCCTTAGTATATAGAATCATAAAATATGTAAGTAATGATTTCCTCAAGTATGCATTTTTTTAAGGAGTTCTGGTGTGGCACTGAAGGATAATTCACTGTTCCACAAGACTGGTTTGAAGCGCAAGGTTGGCAGTTCAAATCCACTAGCCGCTCCTCGGAAACACTATACATGGTTGTTAGGAGTTGGCCCGACTCAGTAGCACTTGACCAAAATAACAACAAACAGGGACTGTACGAGTCAGAATCCACGCAGGGCGGTGCGTCTGGTTTTGGTTACTCACCATTCAGAGCACTTAGGTTAAACTGAATGAAAACTGCTTCACAGGGTTTCTGAGGCTGTAAATGTCTACGGGAAGCAGGCTGCCTCATGGTTCGCCCATTGAGTGGTGGGTATTTCAAATTTGGGGGGAGGTATTCTACATGTACCGCTTTCCCATGGAAACCCTACAGTCAGCATATCAGTTTCTACAAAAGACTGATGAGATTTTGATTGGGATTTTGTTGAATCATAGATTTATTTGGGGAGAAGTGACATCTTACCAATACTAAATCTGCCGATCTGTTAACACAATGTATCTTTCCATTTATTTAGGTTTATCTCAGCAAAGTTTTGTCATTTTTAGTGTATTGTTCTCGCACATCTATCATTTGTCAAACCCACTACTTACCTGATGGGTAATTTAGATCAGAACTCAGGAAACCTTTTCTGTAAAGAGCTGGATAGGAACTATTTGAGGGCAAATGGTTTCTGTCACAACTGCACCTTGATTCTGCCATTGTAAAGTGCAGCAGTCAGGGTTTGTACATAAATAAACGAGCACAGCTGAATTCTAAGACTTTGTTTAAAACCAAATTTGGTCCGTGGATTGTCTGTAGTTTCTTGACCCTCTGATTTAAGTCAATTTTCTTAACAAATTCAGCTTTTTTTCAGTTGAAGTAGCTCATGATTGTATGAGTTAGTTAGAGCCTGGTTGTTGTGATAAGGAAATGTAGATTGAAAACTCACCGATATGGTCAATTTCAATAAGCTCAAAACCTTTCTTCAGTATTTACAGTGTGGGTTTTGGGTTGATCATAGACCATGATGATTACTAGCCCTAATAAAACAGAGAATTAAGATTGGTCAAAATGTCACCTAGCCCTTGAATCAATGGTATGATGATCTGGTGGCAATTATCCATGCTTGTAAACCCATAACCTGTCTGGAACGGAGCAACTTGGTTCCAGTTCATCTGAATGTGAGGTGTCAATCACTCCTTGCTCTGGTATGTACTTCCTAAGAAACTACATTTGCTTTAAGCAGCAGACCGAAGTCATTTGTCCTGGCCTCTTAATGGAACATCTTAATGCTGGTATCTAATTTCCCTACAGAGCCCCAAAAGAGTTCCTTTAATATTCTGAGGTTGGTGAAAGAAACTGGTTTAAGAGCTTATTGTATAAGCTTGTGGTTTGTTTTTAATTAAAATCAAGTCATGTGTGCAAAATAACAATTTAGGGTAGACAAGCTGGTTTCAGAAGAAGCAAAAGATTAATGTCAAAGCTCAGCACTGCCTGGCTTCTCAGAACAACTTACTCCCTTCTCGTGTTGTACAGGTTCATGTGAAAACAGATCGGTGAGAGAGAGAGAAAAGGGGGTAGAGAGAGAGAGGAGATAGGACACACACACAGAGGAAGAAAGAGTCAGTCAGCAGGAGAATAAGGAGGAACACACACACACACACACACACAAACAGAGGGAGAGGATTAGGAAAATGCAGTTTTGCCTTGTGTCTTAGTTCATACCTGAAGGAGTATGTCACTGAACATGGAGCTGTTCACAGCTGGCCCCAAGTATGAAGGGGCTTCAAAAAGTTCGTGGAAAATTTCCATGATCTTTCATTTCTACTTTCCACCAAACTTTGATGCCCCCTCATAGATTCGTGTCTCAACCTATATCTCAAGGTCAAAAAACATCCAACTCAGTCTTGGGGTGGCTGCTAGTATGGATGACAAGGCCTCCAATCAATGCTGTTGGCGATGGCAGTTTGGCAAAGCACACACCAGTCCAAATCACTGTGGAAGTGTTTGGGTACTGGGGAATCGAAACTCTATACTTGTAGTTACAAATGTCAACCCTTAAGTTTGGCCTTGGTACCTACAGTCCTGCCATCCCAAAGCTCTGTGTTAAGGAAGTCTTTGCTTCTTCAGATCTCCAAAATTGTTTTTTAACATTTCATATTTAAATGCCTGGGAGAAAGGAAGGATGAGTAAGCTAGATTCTAGAAATAAAAGTGAAGGTCTATTTAAAAACATATATTTACTGAGCTCTTCATTTATTAGACTGGTTTCTGGCTGCTCTTTTTTTCTGCATTGGTAGTGAGAAGAGTCCCTTTCAAAATTAAGTTGAGGAGCTCTGGTAGTGTAGTGGGTACGAGTCAGGCTACTAATCTCTCGGTGAGTACTTTCAAACTACTAGCAGTTCCGCGGGAGAAAGATAAGGCTTTCTGCTCCCATAAAGATTTACAGACTCCGAAATCGTATGCCAGGTTACTATGAGTCGGAACTGACTCCATGACACACCCTCACCCCATGTAATCTATTTTAAGTACATATTGGCAAGGACCACATCTGTCTTGCTCATCATTCAGTACAGTGACTAATGTAGAATAGGTATTTAAAGTGTGTTGAATGAGGAAATGAGGTAAAGGAATATGGCATTTTAGAGGTAATATTCTGTATTACAAGGAGCTCTGGTAGTGTAGTGGTTACGAATCAGGCTGCGAACCTCAAGGTCAGCAGTTCAAAACTACCAGCTGTTCCATGGGAGAACAATGAGGCTTTCTGCTCCCATAAAGATTTATAGCCTCAGAAACCCTGTACAGGGTGGCTATGAGTTGGAACCAACTCCATGGCACATAACAACAATAATTCTGTATTGCAAATTTTCTAACTCATATTAACTTTATTTATTAGAGTCAAAATTGGGTATAACAAATATCCAACTGAAGGAGCATATTAAATTATGGATGAGATACTATAGAACTAATTAAAATGGTGTATCCAAAGGACTTGTAGCAATATAATTTAAATTTTATGTGAGCACACAAAAAGGAATCAGTTTATAAAGTAGCACAGACAGTATGACGTCATGCCTAGTGGATGGGGCTGAATAGAAACAGGAAACTATGTTTGGTGCATAGGTTTGTGGGTGATTTTATCTGCTTCCTACTTTATTTCCCACTTTTTATTCAGTGAATGTTATTGGTGCTAAGTGCCACTGAGTCAGTTCCACCTCATAATGACCTTCTAATAAATAGGGTTTCTGATGCTTTGAATCTTTCCAGGAGCAGAAAGCCTCATCTTTCTCCCATGGAGTGGCTGGTGGACTTGAACTATAAACATTGTGGTTTGCTTTCCAGTGCTCATTGTACTGTGTTCCCAGTCAGTGAATAGTCACTATTTTTATAAGAAAAAAGTATATTCAACCTAAAACCTATTGTCAATAATGCCAAGAAATGAAAACAAATTTCAAGAAATGTAAGAAAGGTTGTATTTATTTATTTATTTTACAGAAATTTAGTTCCAATGAGACCGAAATCGAAGTCATAAATTATGTGGACGAACATGGACTTGAGATTCTGGAAGATTCTGTGTTTTGATTGTGACTGAGGCAACCTCATCTGAACTCACACTCACACGCCTGACAGATAGGAAGAATGGGACTGTCGCTTCTTGCTTTTGTCTGGTGTTTCCTGAGCACTCAGTGTAGCTGTAAAGTAATACATCTGATGTACCAAGTGCCCTGGAGGAGTCAGCTGACTCAGAGCAACACTGTATAGGGTTTCCAGAGAGTGGCTGGTGAGTGTGAACTGCTAGCCTTGAGATAAGCAGTGTAGTGCTTATCCTACCAGGCTGTACCAGGCTAGTATCTCGGAGAAGTGTTGATGGTTTATCAAAATCTCATTCACAGCAGGTGATTACAACTGAGCATTCTCCTGTTTTTGTTTTTATTTTTCCCCTCCCCACTCTGGACAAGGCAGAACCTCTTCAGTGCCAGTCTTCAGCATTTATGCTACCAGTGTGGCACTCTAGGCTCAGAACTGTGAACCACAAGGTCGGTGGTTCAAACCCACCAGCGGCTCCTTGGAAACTCTAAACAAGGCCACTATGAGTTGGACTGGACTCAAGAGTATTTAACACCACAACCACCACTTCCGCAGACTTTTCTAAGTGTAAGTCTGATCTAAAGACTTATGCCAACTGTCCTGAATTCTAGCCGTCAGTTTGGTAGCTTAAGTTGCCAATAATGATACTCAACTGAAACCTTAAGAAGAAATCATTAAGCACGAGCCCAGTGTGAAATCAACTTGGATTCAAGACTGTCTTTTCTGTATCTAGTGGGTGCCACAAGTTCTTGTTAATTTTATTGATTTTTTTTGAGTGCTGGGATACTTTTTTCCTCAATGTAGTTTGTGTGTGTATGAAAGAGAGAGAGAGAATTTTCTGTTACTTGTTGTTGTTAGGTCCCATCAAGTTGGTACTGACACATAGCAACCTTATGCACAGCAGACCAAAACACAGCCTGATCCTGGGCCAACCTCATTCTTGTTGCCACGCTTTAGTCCATCCATGCTGCCACTTGGCCAGTCCATCTTGTTGGGGTTCTTCCTCTTTTTCTCTGATCCTCCACCTTACCAAACATGATATCCTTCTTCAGTGACTGGTCCCTTCTGGCAATATGTCCGAAATATGAGAGACAAAGTTTGGCCATCTTGGCCTGTAAGGAGCACTCTGGCTGCACTTCTCCCACTTGGTTCTTTTGGCAGCCCATGGCACTTTCAATATTCTCTGCTAACACCATCACTCAAAAGCATCCGTTCTTCTACAGTCTTCCTTATTCACTGTCCAGCTTTCACATGCATATGAGGTGATTGAAAATACCATGGCTTGGGTCAGGTGCACCTTAGTCCTCAAGGTGACATCTTTGCTCTTCAATGCTTTAAAAAGGTCTTGTGCAGCAGATTTGCCTAATGCAATATGTCATTTGATTTCTTAACTGCTGCTTCTGTGAGTGTTGATAGTTGATCCAAGAAGAATGAAGTCCTTGACAACTTCAATCTTTTCTCTGTTGATAAGTATGTTGCTTATTGGTCCAGTGGTGAGGATTTTTGTTTCCTTTACATTGAAGATGTAATCCATACTGATGGCTGTGGTCTTTGATCTTCATCAGCAAATGTTTTAAGTTCTCTTCACTTTCAGGAAGCAAGGTTGTATCATCTGCATATCACAGGTTGTTAATGAGTCTTCCTCCAATCCTGATGCCATGTTTTTCTTAATATAACCTAGATTCTCGGATTATTTGCTCATCATACAGACTGAATAAGTATAGTGAAAGAATACAACCTTGTTGCACACCTTTTTAAATTTTGAAACATTCAGCGTTCCCATGTTCTGTTCGAACAACTGCTTCTTGGTCCATGTACAGATTCCTCATGAGCACAACTGTGATGGAAAACTCACATTTTGCAATGTTGTCCATAGCTTGTCATGATCCATACAATTGAAAGCCTTTGCATAGTTAATAAAGCACAGGTAAACATCTTTCTGATATTCTCTGCTTTTAGCCAAGCTCTACTGGACATCAGCAATGATATCCCTCATTCCACAGCCTCTTCAGAATCCGGCTTGAACCTCTGGAAGTTCTCTGTCAATGTATGCTTGTGGCTGTTTCTGTATTACCTTTAGTAAAATTTTAGTTGCATGGGATATCAAAGAGATTGTCCAGTGATTTCCGCATCCTGTTGGGTCATCTCTCTTTGGAATGGGCACAAATATGGATCTCTTACAATCAGTTGGCCAGATGGTTATCATCCAATTTTCTTGGCAGAGATGAGTGAGTGCCTCCTGTGCCGCCTCACTTTCTTGAAAGATTTCAATTTTTATTTTATCAATTCCTGGTGCCTTGTCCTTTGCCAAGTCCTTCAATGTACCTTAGACTTCCTCCCTAAGTATCACTGGCTCTTGATCATATGCTACCTCTTGAAATCGTTGAACATTAAACATTTCCTTTTGGTACAGTGACTTTGTATATCCCTTCCATAGTCTTTTTTTAATTAATGTTTTATTGTAAATTATGTGATAATTACATGGGAGAACATTAACTGTACATTCATCCTATCTTATATTCTTTCATTGCCATGGTTACAATCTCCTCCATGCATCATCAACCAAGCAAAGGGCAAGCTGGCCCCCCACTCGTCAGCACACAGCCCTCTTCCTCTCTGGGTCTGGAGTCCCCAGCTGCTCCATCTCTGCACATTGTCATTTCTGCCTACATCTCTGGTGTCACTGCTTCTCTGGGTAGGGTCTCGCACTCCGCTCTTCTCCTTTGATGGTTCCAGGGACCTCCACTTCTAGACTTCAAAGTCAATCACTCCCCTCCTTTTGCTACAAAACGTCCATCTTTACATTTCCAACCCTTGCGTCAGTCCTGATTCCATCTTCTTTTGATGCTTTCTGCATCATTCAATAATTTTCCTAGAGAATCTTTCAAAAACGAAAGTTGAGGCTTGAATTTTTTTTCCAGTTCCCCCAGCTTGAGAAATGCTGAGCGTGTTCTTCCTTTTTGGTTTTCTGATTCTAGATTTTTACACATTTTGTTGTAATATTTGCCTTTATATTCTTGAGTTGACCTTTGAAAGTTTCTGTTCAGCTCTTGGACCTCCTCATTTCTTCCATTTGCTTTAGCATCTCTACACTAAAGAGCAAGTTTCAGTGTCTCTTCTGACATCCATTTTGACCCTTTCCTTCCTTCTTGTCTTCTTAATGACTTTTTGCTTTCTTCATGTATGATGTTCTTGATGTCATTCCATAATTCTTCTGCTCTTCAGTCTTTAGTGTTTAATGTATCAAATCTGTTCTTCAGATGATCTCTAAATTCAGATGGGACATATTCAAGGTCATATTTTGGCTCTCCTGGACTTGTTTTCATTTTCTACAGCTTCAGTTTGAATTTGCATATGAATGATTGATAGTCTGTTCCACAGTCTTCCCCTGGCCTTGTTTTCACTGATAATATGGAGTTTTTCCATTGTCTCTTTCTGCAGATGTAGTCAATTTGATTTCTATGTATTCTATCTGGTGAGGTCCATGTGTATAATCATCTCTTAAGCTGTCTAAAGAAGGTATTTGAAATGAATAAATCATTGATTTTGCAGAATTCTATCATGCATTCCCCAGCATCATTTCTATCATCAAGGCCATATTTTCTAATTACCGATCCTTCCTCTTTGTTCCCAAGCTTTGCATTCCAATCACCAGTAATGATCAATACATCCTGAGTGCATGTTTGATCAATTCCAGGTTGAAGAAGTTGGTAGAATTCTTCTATTTCATTCTCACTGGCTTTAAGGGTTGGTGAGTAAATTTTAATAATAGTGGTATTAACTGAGCTTCCCTGTAGGTGCATGGATATTATCCTATTGCAGACAGCATTGTACCTCATGACTGATCTGGATATGTTCTTTTTGACAATGAATGCAACACCATTCCTCTTCAATTTGTCATTCCCGGCATAGTAAACAATGTGGTCATCAGATTCAAAAAGGCCAATACCAGTCAATTTCAGCTCACTAATGCCTAAGATATCGATATTTGTGCGTTCCAATTTCATTTTTAGACAATTTCCAATTTTCCTAGATTCATACTTCGTTCATTCCATGTTCCAATTTTCAATGGATGTTTACAGCTGTTTCTCTTCATTTTGAGTTGTGCCCCATCAGCAAATGAAGGTCCCATGGGCTTTACTTTTTACTCCCACGAGCTTTACTCCATTTGCGTCATCATGGTCAACTCTACTTTGAGGAGGCAGCTCTTCCCCAGTCGCATTTTGAGTGCCTTCCAACCTGAGGGGCTCATTTTTATGCACTATATCTGACAGTGTTTCTCTGCTATTCATCAGATTTTCAATGATTAAATATTTGCAAGTAGTTAGTCACTCCTTCTTCCTACTCTGTCTTCGTCTGGAAGCTCATCTGAAACCTGTCTACCATGGGTGAACTTGCTGGTATTTAAAATACTGGTGGCATAGCTTTCAGAATCACAGCAACTCACAAGCCACCACAGTACGACAAACTGACAGATCAGTGGTGGTTCTGTTCCTTAGGCCTGATCTCATTAGGTCTATTTCAGACAAAATAAATCTAAAGACATAAAGAGCTAAGACATCACACTGTTATCAAAAGATGGCACAGGATTTTGTTCCAAGATTATAGTCTTGAAGGCAGTTTTGCTATTGTGGCTGTATACTGAGAATTAGGTTAAGAAAGGAATGACGGGAGAAAGACTACATTTTCTAAGAGCTAATTGTTGGCAAAGACTTCGGAGTATCCTTTGGGCATTATCTGGACAAGCAGTACTGAGTAAAACCCAGCCTCTTAGGTTTGCAAAAGGTCTTAATTGGGCACCACATCAAATATTTCAGTCTGCACAGGAATCCTGCCACCCTCATCTACAAGGAGCTTCAAAACCTAAATGAAAAATGGAATGAAAAGACAGTGGAAATTTCCACACTTTGAAGCCCCCTCAAATGAATTGGCACCCCTAGTGGAGGTCTTTGTGATGGGAGACAAGTTGTAGTTAGAATTATGTGCAGGTGGGA